TAGTTCTGAGTTTTCAAACACTACACTGGCAGTTCTGAGCTATCACACATTACACTGGCAGTTCTGAGCTATCACACACTACACTGGCAGTTCTGAGCTATCACATGCTACATGATGAGTGTCTGCAGTCAGAAAAGTGTCCATTTTGATGTGGAATAGGAAGGGGAAGGAATGGCTACAGATGTGGAAGAAGTCTCAGAAAAAAAAAAAAAAGAAGAAGGCATTGGAGAAATGATGGGCAGTAGACTGAGACAGCACCTAAGTGATACTTTCTGTGCTCTCTAAGGTGACCTTAGTTGACACCACCACTCTCCTCTCTTCACATTTCCTGTGCCTCCGATCTCTTTCCCACCTCTACTACACCCTTCCTTCCCCTCTGCCATCGTTCTCTCCTCCCCGCCTTCCCCCCTCCTGTCCTTGCCTCTCCCTCTCCCAATCCCCTCTTTTTCTCTGCCCTCTCCTTTTTTTTTTTTGTTTCTTTTTTGAGACAAGGTCTCTCTCTATGTGGCCCAGGTTGGCCTTGATCTTGTGATTCCCCTGCCTCAGCCTCCCCAACACTGGGATTACAGGCCTGTACTATTGGATCTAATTCCTTTTACCTTGTGTACTTTGTAACAGGTTTGTGTATGTGGAACTGGTGTATTTATCTCCAAATGCAAACTCATGTGCTGGATGTGGGTGGATGAAAGTAAATGAGTTCCCAAGGAAATGACATCTAAATCTAGACTTAGTTTTTCCCTGGATGCACAGGAAATCAGGGTCCAGGATTTGGAAGGGAAGATGAGCAACCCCAGTAAAGGGCTCAGTGGGTAGGTCGGTTGCAGGTGGTTCTTTGCTAATAGGTGTGATCCATTTCAGTAACCACAAGCCATCGTTCTCCGGAGCTCTTCTTACTATAAAGCTCCCAGTCCTGGGCTTCCTTTAGGGAAGTGTCTAAGACTAAAGAGGAGGAGGCCAGGAATCTGAGAATGAGCTGGGGGTGGGCACATGGGAGGAGTAGGATGAAGGAAAGGGAAGGCAGAAACATCATATAGTTACATTGTAATTAAAAGAAAAGAAAAAATTGACAGAAACCATTAAAAATAAGTTGTTTTAAAGTTAGTATTGCTTTTTAGTTAGCAGATCTAGAGAACATGTGTGGAGAAAATTGTTACTAAATATTCATTTTATAATTTTTATCCATTCCCTATATAAAGTTGTATCTTGAAGTTTTTACCTTAGATTTAGAAACACAAGTTAAGAAGACAAAAGGAGAGAGAGAGAGAGAGAGAGAGAGAGAGAGAGAGAGAGAGAGAGACAGACACAGACACAGAACCTCAACTGTCTAGACTGTTTACAGCACAGCAGTGGAAGGCATCAGCCTTCCTTTGGGTGGAAATGTGTGTGAAGGGGAGGGTGCTGGTCCGGGCTTTTATAGGAATCGCAGGGCCTTAGGTGTAGGGAAGTTGATCCAGCTGGGGATGGTATTTGCAGGGCAAAACATTCTTCAGAAATTTACGGCCTCCTTATCCTGAAACTGCTAGCCCTAACAAAGTGGGCTAACTTATGAAAGTGTCTGCCTGCCTCAGGAAACAGTCCTTCCTGGGATTCAGATGTGGCTCACTGGCGACAGTTGAGCAGTAACAGCAAGCCAGTTTCATCAAGACTGCTTTCTGCGCCTGGGGTATTTCATCAGTTACAATGTATTTTGTTCATGTTCACCATGCTTGAAAGTGTAGTTGGTAACTCTTTATATTATGTGTCGTTATAAGACTGTTTTATTTAAGTTGGATAGTTTTGATATTGGTGGGTTTTGTTTGTTTCATAGTTTCTCACAAGCCCTAGTAGCAGCTGTGTGGACTCCTCATGCACATCTGCTTTTCCCTGTCCCCCACCGCACTGCTGGGTTGGTTGATACCTAAGGCACTCACTTCTCTTGCTTAAGAATTGTATTAACTACTCATTTCCTGACCTTTTAAAAATATAAAATATAAAGACAAAATATGAAAAGGAAGAAGCTGTCTAAGATTGTTATGGGAGACAGGTGGATCTATGAAAAGAATTACTGTTAACATGACAGGACCAAGAAAGTGAACAGAAAGCACCATGGCTTAAAGCCTCTGTCAAGCAAAACCAGTCTCTGTGCAACACACACACACACACACACACACACACACCCATCATACACACACACCACACACACACACTACACATCACATATCCCTACACAGATACCACATCCATACATACACACCTATATACACACATACCACATACACACCACATACCCATACATACACCACACACCACAGATGCACACACACACCACACAAATTGCAAAAAACAATTTGAGGAAATATGGAAGTTCAGCCATTGTGTGATGATTGATATATATATGTACATACATATTATATATCCGTTTATAAAGGATGCTAAAGCCTTTCTGTAAACACATTGGCATTCTCAAACACTTCATTTAAAATCACTTCCACTTCTTTCTGTTTTTGAAATGACTATGTGGGCACCTGCTTTGGTCCACACCATCCAAAGTAAACAAGACAAGTGTCCTAGACTGTAGTACCCTGGACGCCGACACAGCATGCTCAACAGGTAACATTCAAGTTCTGACACTCGGTGTTTTTTGCTTTGCAGATTGAAATTCAGCGCCACTTTCTTCCCTGACACGCCCACTCACAGAACAGTGCTAGCGCAGGGACCATGTGCAAATGCCACCACATACATGTGACTCTGGGTACATTCCCTAGCCCAGCACATAGCTTCACTCTGTTGGCTGCACTTTCTTTGGACCTCCCCTCTCAACTATTAAAAGGTCTAAAAGGGTGTGTTGTTAGTAAGTACTTTTATTGCCACCAGTTATCTTCCTGCAAAACTTAAATGTTACTTCTCAGTGTGACTAAGTACCTGACATTGCCTACAATGCAAGCTCACAGTGAAACGTCACAGGAGCCTATGAAGAGTGGGCAGTTAGCGTCAGTACCTTGGCTTGAAAGCCACTCTTCCATCTTGATTTGTTGATGCAGGCGAACTCTGGTATCCCCCATCCAATGCCACATACGTACTGGTGTTTATATTTTGCTGGCAGGCTTCGGTTTGGGGCAGATCTGCATAAATATCTGAGGTCTCCAGTTTTCTCTCGTACTGGACGCTTTTCTCCTATATAGGCGGTATGCTGGTGAACTTTAAGCGAATGGTCTTTTATGTAGTCTGGACCTAAAGAGACAGAAAGAAAAGCATGTTTAAAACCTTCTTCACATTATTTTCTCTCTGTGTCTCTCTATGTCTGTCTGTTTATCTCTCTTCCACGTGTCAGGGGGAGGGTCTCAGGAATCTCAGACAAGTTTACAAGGTGGTGGGGATTAAACCCCTTCACATTCTTTTCTAAGATGCCTTTATTTCAATTGTGGAGTCAATAATATGGCACTTCTTAATGTCCCTATGTATGATTAAAAGCCTTTTAAACAGGTTAATCCAATGAATCCTTATTAACAGCTGTAGAAGATAGACTCTAGCCTCCCACCTCAGTTTAATATGGGGAAAGGGAAGCAAATAAAGATTGGTTCTTTGTTCAAAGTCAAAGCAAACAAGCTCTCCACACTGGCCTGGCTGCCTTCAAAGCTGGGCTCTCAATGGCCCCACTAAACTGCCTTGTTTGTAATTAATTCAACAGACACATTTCAATTTAAAAGTTTCTTATCCAAGCCATAATGGCAAGGGCTAGCCTTTCAGACACTGGGGGGTTTGTTTCACATATATGACTTCTTAAATGACAGTGAAAACTCCCCAAATGCATTAGAAGCAATTAGAAAATTGATAAAATGACTAGATAGGAGAGTTACAACAGATGTTTGAAGACTCAAGGCAGGGGTAGCTAGCATTAGCATTTTAAACGTAAAACAATAGAAATATTCAATGAAGCCGGGCGTTGGTGGTGCACACCTTTAATCCCAGTATTCGGGAGGCAGAGGCAGGCAGATCGCTGTGAGTTTGAGGCCAGCCTGGTCTCCAGAGCGAGTGCCAGGATAGGCTCCAAAGCTACACAGAGAAACCCTCTCTCGAAAAACTGGAAAAAGAGAGAGAGAGAGAGAGAGAGAGAGAGAGAGAGAGAGAGAGAGAGAGAGAGAGAGAGAGAGAACAAATGGGCTTAGTTACCCAGGGAGGAGCTTTAAAGCTCCAGAGCCAAAATGGGTTTTAGATTGGTGAAGGGGGCCATTAGGAGCAGGCCAGTGGAGATAAACACACACACACACACACACACACACACACACACACACACCCTGTTTCCCCTAGGCAGAGAGAAGAAACCATAGCCCACCCAGCTCCAGGCACCATTATGGTGAGCAAACATATGGTGGGGAATGGGAGAGAGAGAGAGAATGGCTCATGTCCTATGGAGAGAGGCAGATCGGAAGAGGCAAAGGCCAGGAATGGGATGATGTGGGATGCCTGCTTGCCACCTGGTGCCTTGGTGACATCTGGGCCTTGGACCGTTCCCAAGGGCAATGTCTGGGTCCAAGGCCCTGGCTCAACCCCAGTCTGTGCTGAGGGCCATGGCTTCTGTTACCACCAAAGACCATGAGGATGCCTGGAGTCTGGGTCACCACCTATGGCCATGTTAGTGTCCCAGGGCCTGAGCTGCCACCCAGGGCCATGGAGACATCTGGGCTTGACCTGCTGCCAAGGGCCATGTCTGAGTTTGTGGCTCTATTGCAGCCACTACTGTTTTGATGTCTGGAGCTCCTGTAACCTCCAAAGACTGTACAGATGCCCAGGGTCTGAGCCAACACCTGAGGCCATATTGGTGCCTGAGGGTCATGCTGCCACTGGGACAATATAGATCTGAGTGTCCTGCGTTGCCACCAGGACCATGGTAACATCTGGCTGAGCTGCTGCTGTTAGCTATGTCTGGGTCTGTGGTCCTGACACAGTTGGGGTCTGTGTTGATGTCCATTGCTCGTGTTACCACAGGGATCCCATCTAAACCATTTGTTGAAGTACAAGGGTTGTGCTGAGCTGACGAAGCCCCTCCCCAGACCTAAGAGATGGTCCTGCCCCTAAGAAGAGAAGTGCTCTCCTCTTGGGAAAGTTGGCCCTGCCCATCACCATTGGTGTGGGAGAGCTGGCTCTGTCCCTTACTGAGGGGGGGGGGTGCTGTAGAACATCTTTATATACTGCAAATATGTATTACTCTCATTGGTTAATAAAGAGCTGACTGGCCTATACCTGTGCAGGAAGAGACTGGGCAGAAGAGCCAAACTAGGAGGGTGCTGGGAAGAAAGAGGGCAGAGTCTGAGGATTCTCAGGCCAGATGCTGAGGAAGCAGAATGTGTAGAAAATGAGGTGACAAGCCGTGAGCTATGTGGTAGAACTTAGATAAGAAATATGGGTTTGTTTAAGTTGTAAGAGCTAGTTAGTAACAAGTCGAAACATTTATAATATATATTAAGTCTCTTTGTGGTTATTTGGGAACAGCTTCAGGACACAGAAAATTCCACCTACAGGGCCAAGTCATACCAATTCAGCTACCACCCAGACACACATCCAAGGCTTTGAGTTGGCACTCCCTAACATCTACCCATCTATGACCTGCCAGATAGAGCACATGAAGGGACTGATCCTGTACAAATATAGCTACAGGATCTCCATAACTGAGGCAACAGCAGGATATCCAAGAGGAGCTTCAGTGAGCATCTAGTATTGTTGGTGTTCCAGAAGCTTTGAACCTGAACAACAATACATCACACAATGAACATTTGTAAGTAAAGCTGTTTGGACAAAAGAGAATACTGCATGGTACATTGCAGCTCCCAGTGCCACTGAGATGGAGAAGTGACGGAGAGGTAGGAAGGATGGAGGAGCAAAGTTGTTCTTTGTTTGCTTTTGTTTGTTTGGTTAGTTTTTTGTTTTGTTTTGTTTGTTTTTTATTTTTTATCTTATTTTTATTACTTCTTTTTTTAGTTTTCCTTTGGGGGACATACTACAAGGGTGAAGGGCAGATATGGAGAGACTAGGAAATGAGTGGGATTGGGATGTGTGAGGTGGAATTCCCAAAGAATCAATAAAAAAATTATGTTTAAAACAAAAAGATTGATGAAGGGCTAACAGGCCCAACTTGGCAAAGAGGCCCACCCCACTACCTCCCTCCCCTCCACAGATTTTGTCTGACCCCCTTCCTCACCCTTGTTAAAGCCTTCAATTACATTCTTAAAGCTAGCCCCCAAGGTCTATTATCTTATTTGTCCTCTGACTCATTCCTGGAGACTAGACACCAGTCCAGCAATCGAAATTCATGCTACACAGCTAACCTGTCCAATCAGGATTTACTGACTCATCCTAGCTCAGACTTCTACTTTTCTCTTTAAAATCCACTTCTGCAGACAGCTGCTGCTGCCTTTGATGGGTCCAGAGGCAGCCCCCTCCTACCCCACACCCGCCTCCCCCTTCACCTTTGCCCCTCCGAGGTAATAAATCTCCTTTGGGCTGAGAATTTGGTGTCTGGGTGTGTTCTTTGCTGACTCCAAGGGCCTGCCTCCTACAGTTAGGGGTGCATTTGGAGATACAAAGAGCTTCATTTCTGTTAGCATGGGCAACAGTTCATGGTAGACATTGCTGTCTAAGCCTGCGGCCCTGCTCATCAAGAGCATGGTATTTGGGGAGTCTGCGGAAGACAAGGCCTTGGGCTCCATGTGCCTGTTACTGTGGTTCGAATTTGGAACATCCCCCACAGGCTCGTGTGTTGGAACACGTGGTCCTCAGGTAGTAAGGCTATTTTGGAACTTTCAGGAGGTGGAGACTCACTGGAGGAAGTACTTCACGCAAGGCAGAGCCTTGGTTTTATGGCCACGCTGCACTTGCCGGCTCTCTGCCCCTGGACTGCAGAGGACACACTGTAACCAGATTTGGTAGTCATGCCTTCTCTGCCAAGATGAGTGATGTCTTTCCTTAAACTGTGGTCAAAAGAACCCCTCCTCCCTTCTGTTGCTTTCACCAAGTGTTTGGTCACCGCAATGAGAAACAATCATCCACGGAAGGACTGGGGTTCTTAAGAGCCTCTCGAGAAGTTCCCATGCTGCTCAAGAAGATTTGAGGAGAACTCTTCAGAGCCTCCCTTTGGCACGTGTTTCCCAGTTTCCCTGCCACCATCACTCCACGTGAGGCACTAGTACTCACCCAGGAACAAACATTTCCCTAGTGAATACATTGTAGCCTCAATCTTTGTTTGTGTGTGTGGAGGGGGGGTGGGGGGTATTTCAAGACAGGGTATTTGTTTTTTGTTTTTTTTTTGTTTTTTTTTTGAGACAGGGTTTCTCTGTGTAGCTTTTGGAGCCTATCCTGGCACTTGCTCTGGAGACCAGGCTGGCCTCGAACTCACAGAGGATCCACCTGCCTCTGCCTCCCAAGTGCTGGGATTAAAGGCGTGCACCACCAACGCCCCAGCAAGCCAGGGTTTTTCTGTGTGGCTTTGGAGCCTGTCTTGGAACCCGCTCTCTAGACCAGGCCTCTAACTCATTGAGATCCACCTTCCTCTGCCTCCCAGGTGCTGGATTAAAGGCATGCACCACCACCACCACCCAGTGTAGCCTCAATCTTACTAGCTTTGGGTTTTTACTGGTAAAATACAGACTCATGAGAGCCTAAGAAACCAGTCCCTTCTTCCATCTGACAGCGGCTGGTCTCCTCTGTGTAGCTGTCACAGGGAAGTGTTTGCCATCGCTTCTGAAGAGGGTCAAATACTGAAGTACCGAGTCATTCTCTCTGGGTTTCAGGCCAGTCTTTCCCAAGTGTTTTAGTAAATGCTGCTCTCATGGCTGGACTACAAAGGCATGTTGTGCCAGGCGGAGGCCGTGGTCAAGTGTACTTGGGAACAGTGCCTGCCTGCAGCATTTGCCTGGCAGATAGTCAACAAAGGTAGAATGTGATTCTGGGTAGCTCAGCGGCAAGCAAAAAAAAAAAAAAAGTTTGTAATTGCGGAATCAGAGTTGGTTTTCTTGGTTGTTATTGTTGTTTTGTAGAGCTCACTTGAATGCATCCCACAATCGCTGGGAGGATTAGGGAAATAATAAGCCTCTACCAGTTTCAGTTATGGCTAATGAAGGGGGACTTCAGGTGTACCTGAGGGGCAGGGCACTTGACTAACACACAAGACCCAGGCTTCATCCCCAGGACCATAAAAAAAAAAAGTATGGTTGTGAGGGTTTTTTGTTTTCCTGGGCGTGGGGGGGTGGGACACAGGACTCAACCCAGGGTCATTCACACTCTACCACAAAGCAATACCCAGTCAAGATCACAGTGTTGAGCTTAACTGCAGTAGTTAGAAACCCTGGTTTTGTCCAGGGCTGGCTGTGTGAGCCAGGGAAGGTCACCCAACTTGTGCATCACAGTCCACATCTGCAGTGTGGCCACCTCCCAGGAGAATGACTTTTACTTAACACCATGTTTAGCTGGAAATCTGACCCATTTGTGCCTAATCTTCTCTCTGGTTTGTAGGCCTTTTAATGTTGAGGCTTTGTCTTACCTACTGCCCGTCTTTGTTTATTTGTACCTTGGGAACTGATGGATTTACTAATGGATAATTATTTTTTTCTTATTGTGAACAAATTTCAAATCCTTCAGAACTCTTTGAGATTAAAGGTCATCAAATATTTTCTGCAAAGGCTATAAAGGAAATTGTTTTGGTTTTGCTGGCCATTAAATCTGTTTCACCAATTCAATTTTGCCCTTGTAAGTCGAAAGCAGCCATGGGAAAATAGGTAAACAATAGCTATTCATATATTTCAATAAAAATTATGGGAAGGACTAAGAAGAGAGCCCAGTTGGTTGAATGCTTGTCTATCATGCATGCAGCCTAGTTTCTACACACAGCCCTGCAAAAGCTGGGTGTGAGGAAAAATGCACATAAAATCCCAGGTACCAGAGGTGGAGGCAGGAGGAACAGAGGTTCAGTCATCTTTGGCTGTACTGGGGATTGGAAGTTAGCTTGGAGTACATGAGAAAGGCACTGTAAATCTCTCTCTCTCTCTCTCTCTCTCTCTCTCTCTCTCTCTGTGTGTGTGTGTGTCTGGTGCTGTCAGCTTTCACAGTAGAATCTGGAGGTGACTAGAGCTATACAATGTACAACTTGTTCACCCATCCAGGCTAAATGGATTGTGGAGAAGGTGGTTGGGACAACAATGCAAAAAATTGCTTAAGTACAAGCAACCTGGCTTTTTTTCTTATTGTTTTGGATTCCAAAATAGGTTTTGGAATCCAAAATAGGTTTTGGATTCCTATTCACCAAAGTATTTTAATAAGAAAAACCCTGCTTTGCTCATGGTGCCCTTAGCAGTGTGCCAAGTGCACCAGCAGAGAGGGTTCATACCTCACAAGCTGTCCACTCCGTCATAAGCATGTGAAATGGGAACAGCTGAGGCCAGTTCCTGGTAACAAAGTCTCAGAGCTATGATAGGACAGTCCCTTCAAGGACCTCTTACCTGGAGTGTCCAATCAAAATCTACTCACCCAACCCAAATTCCAGGAAGTCAACACAGGAAGGGTTGGAAGAGGAACCAAAAGGAAATAATCATTTTCTTTTATTATTTTTCCTACCTTGGTGGCTTTAATACATTTGAATTTATTCTGAATTAAACCAGTGATGCTCTATTATGTATTGCATTATTATTCATTTTATTTCTATTTGTGTGTGTGTGTGTGTGTGTGTGTGTGTGTGTGTGTGCCATCCATGTTCAGGCACTCACTGAGTCCACAAGAGGATGTTGGATCCCTTAGGGCTCTAGTTACAGGGGTGGGTGCAGGGAACCAAACTCAGGCACTCTGGGAGGGTAGCAAACACTCTCAACCACTGAGCCAGCCCTACTCCTGTTTTCCTTTAAAAAAAAAAAAAAGTGTCTTTGCAAAGTGTCTGAATTTTCTTGTGACATTTTTGAAATAGCCAAAGGTAAATTAAGTAAAGGGATTGCTATAGTATTTCATAAAGGGTTATCACCTTTCTGAGTTGTTTTTTTTTTCTCATTGAACATACATTTATAGTACACTTTGCACTCTTCTACATTGTTTTGTAAACTTATTATTTTAGGAGATATGTTGTTTTTTTTAGTTACATAAATCTTAAATTTATTTAGCACCTTTTTTTGAAGATTCAAGTTTATTTTTCTAAAGTTTTATTTATTTTTATTTTATGTGTATAAGTGTCTTGCCTGCACATATGCATGTGCAGCGAGTGTAAGCTGGATGCACTGGAAGGCAGAAGGAAGATGCCCTGGACTGAAGTTATAGAGCTGGTTGGGAATCATCACGTGGGTTTGGGGAGCTGAGCCCAGGGCCTCTGTAAGGGCTCCTAACTGCTGAGCTATCTCAGCATCCAGAAGAAACTTTTTGATATAAAAAGTATACTCATTAAATGGTTTTGGTGAAATATTATTTTCTCTCTCCAATTTCACCAACTTCCTAAGGAAATAGTCAACATGATTATTGTCACACTCTATCACATTAAGCTGTTATAAAAAGCATGTTGACATGTGGAAATTTAAATAAATTTATTCAGTGTCATTTATATCCTAGGCTAGATTAAAAAGCCATGGGATCTAAATTTTTTTTTAGGGCAACAAGATTGCAGTTGTATATAAATTTCATTTGCTATGAAATGTTATTTTCCATTTTTCTCACAACCATTTAAAGGAAAGCAAAACTGTTCTTGACTTCTGGGTAAATTTTCAGACTAGAAGTTGGCTTCTGTGACTTGGTGAAGGAAGAGTGTCAAGCTAAATAAAAATAGACACTGTTTCAGAGCAAGAGAGCGCTTTAGAAATTCCCAAAAGGAGGGAATGGGACAGCTGGGAAATGCAAAGTGACAGAAGGGTGCTGCACTGAAAAGAAGAAAGCTACCAAGAGGAGGCATCCATCAGGGGACCCAGAGCAGAAGCTTATGCAAAAGATAAATTGGGTGGCCCCTGTGAAGAGACTGGCTCTTCTAGCCAGAGGACAAGCTACTGGCTTCCCCCAGCCTCAATTTCAGTAACAAATTATAGTGGTTTGAATAGGTATGGCCCCCATAGACTCATGTGTTTGAATGCTTGGCCCATAGGGAATGGCACTATTAGGCGGTGTGGTCTTGTTGGAGTAGGTGTGGCCTTGTTGAAGGAAGTATGCCACTGTGGAGGCAGACTTTAAGGTCTTATATCCTTAAGTTATGTCCAGTGTGGCACACAGTCTCCTTCTGAACCTGTGGATCAAGATGTAGAACTCTCAGCTCCTTCTCCAGCACCATGTCTGTCTGCATGTCACCTGTCTGTCTGCATGTCACCATGCTTCCCACCATGACATCTATGGATTAAACTTCTGCGCTATAAGCCAGCCCTCCATTAAATGTTTTCCTTTGTAAGAGTTGCCATGGCCATGGTGTCTCTTCACAGCAATAGAAACCCTAACTAAGACATAAATCTCGAAGAAACAGTGACTTCTTCTGTTTCATCAGCAGAGACGTTCCACAGGCTCTGTTGACTGTGGCCAGGTGCTATCTTTAGGGACCAGGACTACAATAAAGACCTGAGAGCAGGAAACAGTCACAAGTCAGGGAGCCTGTGTTCACCCTACCACGGTGGCAGGATAGAAGCCAGTCCTGGGGGAGCAGTTATGCAGGATGGAGAAGACCCAAGGCTGTCAAGCCCCAAAGTATAGGAAGCAGGAAGCT